TCCCATCGCACGCCGCTGCCGCCAGATCTGGGGTTTTGGTTTGAGGGTTCCTGCAGATCCATTCTCGGATCTAACGTCACGGATGTCAAAGATAGCACAGCCTTGTCACGCCATGTGTCTACAGGACATGGTCATTGAGGTATTCTGCCTAAAATACTTTCTACACTGCATCGCGGGCTTCCTTTCCCATGCTTCAAGGCAGTGAAAACGCTCCGCCCTGCTCCACCGTTTCACCAAGCTTGGCTTTGTGGGTTTCAGCAGTTGCTTTGCCTCTTTCCCGTGATCTCAGAACCCCGGAATCCTGTTGGATTTCAACGGGCAGACATGTATTGCTCAAGGACTCTCGCTCTCGGCCCTCAAGAATCAAGGGCCACCCTGTTTGGTTATCTCCGCTCTAGCGTGGTGTCACTGATACTCTTGATTTTGTTTCCGGTTTCAAACGTCTCCATCTCATTTACCCAACTGCCGGGACTCTTAACGCGGACATACTTTGGCCTGAATGGGAAAGTTTTGCGGGAGATTGCTCGATTCACTGGCTTTTTCGAGGTACATCTGACTCGTCCAAGTCCACTCTAAGCGCTCTTGTCGCGTCAGGTTGGATGATCACCCCCTCCCACTTACAACACAACAAACATGTCGACACTACCGAGGCATGTTTGTTACGATATTTCCGACGAGCACGGGAGTATTTGCCGCGAGTATTCCGCCTTGTTCGCAGGCTTAGCCGCGTTTTTGACGTCTCATATTTCAACTCAAAAGTTCGTATATGTCGGTCCCTAGGGTCGCATTTCTGTCCGACCCGCCCCCCCCCCCCCCCCCCCCTTCTCCCAGTCATATTTCGAATCACACGCATGCTCATGCAGAGTGAGCGGTACCAGACATTCGGGACCAGATAACGTGTTTGTTACTCGTACGTTGCGAGCAGAAGAGGCAGGTGATGACACGGCTCATCAGCGTTGAGACAACCATCCATAAACAGGTGTGGTGCCGTACATATCCGTCCGTCTGCAATGGATGGCGGCCCCCCCGCTGTGACATGGCTCTCGCTAGGGTGTACCTTGCCAATGCCCGGCTTTACATTCATTGCTCAAGCCCCGGCAGAAAGACGTTTTCAATTTGTTACTAGGCCGGATTTTAGCGTTGCCTTTCGTAGCAAGCACATGCACAAGGCGACGCCCCTAAACCCCTCCCTCGTCTTTTCTTGGCAACCCATCTCATCTTATCATCTATCGGGCGATCATCGTTAAGGAACAAAGCACACTCCCTCATCAGAAGCCAATCTCGTGGGGTTCCGGATGTTCCATCCACCCATCTTTTGCCATGATTGCGCATGCCTACGGCCCGATGCTTCGACTTGTTTGCATCACGGTCAATTGCAGAGCATGTCATTCAGTGCCAACATACTGCGTACGGCGCAGACCTACGGCATGCGCAGTAACAAGTACAAGGGATCCAATTCCCCTCCATACTGCTATGGCACTTATGTTCTGCTCGGCAGGGGTACGTACGCTCCCATACATCATCTTGTAACCGCAACACTTGGATACGCCCGCAACAAGCAGACCCGACATCTTCTTTTGGGTGTCAATAGGAATCTTTGCACCTCTGCCAAGCGAACAGCTGATTGTGGCTACCTATTGTTCTTGACATCGACCAAGCCCTAGCTCGCAAGTGCCATGTCTCCAGCGCGCTCTATTTGGTTTGGAAGCACTGCTCTATGTTCTCAAATCGACCGAATCAACTGAGACTAGCCGTCGGCTTTGCCGATACGTGAATAGCTAGAGCTTATTTGCCTTTTACTTTGTGTCAAGGGCGCCAAAGCGTGTGCAGCTATCGGCCACCACTGTACTAGGACAAACACTTGCTACAAGGTTCTATCATGGCTTCTAGCGTATATTCAAGTCTCTCCTTCATATCAAAAGGTGAATATAGAGACCTTTGTTGTAGTTGCTTCAAGCACAGTCTATTTCCATATCAGTCTTCTCGGTGGTTACTGCGAGAGCTGAGCATTTGGGCTACTCAGAGGAAAGCAAGACAATCTCGATTCAAGTAGTTCGTCCAACTTGAAAAGGAACTTGTACCAATCACTTTATTGATATACGTCACCGATATAGCTGCTTGCTCGCTGTAGCACGGACTTCATGTTGGCCTGAAAGATAGCCTGCTGGCATGTCCCTCTTTACCAGTCATTGGTGATGAGGAAGCAGAATCCCAGGCCGTTCGATCATTTCAGCCATCTTTCTTCTTACGCCTCTATGCATATAGCATGGAGTTACAGTGATGGCATCGTTTTCCAGAGCCTGAAATTCAAGAAGCACCAAAAGTACTCGACGAATACTCCTGAAAATTACAATGTGATTCTTAACCCAAAATGGCCTCAACAACGTGAGCTACTGTTTTATTATTAAGGCCGGGCTTCTACAGACATAGGCAGAGTAAGGTACTGACTCTATCCACATATGTGACAAGTCTCCAGTTTCTCCAGGCCAGGGGTTGGCTCAAGCCCTCGTGGGGAGCAGGATCTTCCTCTTTGATTTCAGGCTCTAATAAGAGGGAACTATGGTACCGCAATAAGCCAAATTACGGAGTCATGGAGCCTGTGCTCTGAAAATGTGGTCATGATTGGCATTTTCCGTATCTCAAGATGGTGTTCTTGAAGGGAAATTGGAGGACGAGACGCCACTTTCGGAATTGGCTGCGCACAGGCAGAAGATGCAGCAGTTGCAAGCATCTATGCTCAAGAGAATAGATATTTCAGAGTGGGTTAGCGAGTGACTCCCGGCACTTGAAGCGCCGTCTAACGGCTTGCCGAATCTTGCATTCTTTAAATAAAGCAAACTGGGTTAAACTGGGATGGGCTGGGCTCAACATTGCTCTGCTACAGGCTGGAAGGCTTATCCTAGCGCAGATCGATGGCGAGTTTCACGAGCGGGCACAGGGCGCAAGTACTGTACTGGCTGGGGCTAGGAGGGGGCGTGTTGTTGTTGGTTGTTGGTTGTGCCTCTGTTGGTTGTGTTTTATCAGAGTCAGAGTCAGAACAGAATAACTACCAGGGGTCAAACTTGACGTGGTTCTTCCTTCAAGGGTCCGCTCCAGCCCTAAAGAGTAAGTGACTCGTCTTCGGTTCAGATACTGACACTGATACTGGTTTCGATCTCCGGATGCCCTTGTTTCTCGTCGATGAATGCTCACGGTGCCGACTTGGCTCATTGCCCACTGCCTTCAGCATCCCTGCAATGGAATCTCAATAGTGAATTCAAGACTGGAAAAGAATATCCGGAGCCGCCATTCTTCAGGTTCTAGAAAGTTGGCTCAAGCATCGCCCGCATTGCTTTACATAGCCTGCTGAGAGTGCCTTACCGAACTGAATTCGAAACTAACAATAACGGCATCGTTATGAGTTAGTTTTCAACCAACTCTTGTCGTCTGGGGGCGCTTAATCCAGGTATATGGTTTGTCTTCTGCCGCGCACCAAGGCGCCCAGCCGTTCCCGTTTCATGCGGCCATGGGTCTGCAGAACAGGTCAAACAGGGCACTGCCGGCCTGAAAATGCGGCCATATACTTTACTTGACGACATATGTCATATCATCTCCACTGCGAGGCGTTATTCCAACTCTATCGTCGATGAATGAATTGCCTGATTGCCGAGACTTTCTAAGCTTTGCGGAGAGACTCGATGTGCTGCTTTGACGAGGCGTTTTCGGGACAATGCAATGTTTCGAATCACGATGGTAAGCAAGGAATGTATTCGTCTTAGGCATGGCCATGGCCATTACCGGCTCCAAGGGTTTGTTTCTCGTGGAATCCATCCTCAAGACGGCGTCTATTCAATCGACATCAGCCATTACTGACTTGATGTCATCGATGCCTAAAACAGTCCCTTTTGCATTCTTGAATCCAAAACTTATTAGCTTTTAAACGTCAAGAGCACCACCGAAAACGCCACGGCAACTTCCTTCCCGATGGATGAGGCATTCGGAAATAAAGAGAGGGCGAACGGCTGTGGCATAGATTGTTCTATTGTTCCTTGCTCTCTAACGGAAGTCGAATCAGGATCAACATCACGCAACCAACAATGGACTCGTCAACGCCGAGAAACGCCAAATTTGACCCAAGTCCTTGGCGAGGGATCAAGGATTCTACAATAGCATTCACTGTCCTCAATCGTATCGCCACACTAGCTCGATAATGGCGGCAGATGCGACTGATGGCTGCGAATCAACCTCCAAGAGCCGGGATTCTGTGTTGATGAGCTGCATGCATTTTCGGTGATTGCCTCTCCAGGCTGAAATCGGTGAGCCGAGTCATACAGGTACTATTTGTTTGAAACATCAAGGCAGGCTGAGGCAGAAGTGCAGCTCCAGTTCCAGTCCCCCTCCTCGTGGTTCGGCTTCTCGTCAACGAACGCAGTTATGGTGCCCCATAGGGCACATAATGGTACGTGCCATTGAGAACAGAACGACAGAATGCTCCGATCCCTGTCCTCCCTCGCCCTGGACCTGGACCTGGACCTGGCTGTTGTTGTCTGTCGCTTGTCAACGTCAATGTCACCGTAACTTCAATTAGACTCGGCTCACGGATCAAGTCCCCGCGTCTCCGTTTCCCTGCAACCTCGCTCTCGCCATGGTATCCGTATTATGAATGTAAAATGGCATGGGTCAGAGACGACTTCTAACTCGCTTAGCCCTTTGCCTCGGCCTATACTTGATGGGGGTATGTATTTCTGCCTGAGAATATTCATGGGCTATCAAGTCTCTGTTCGAGATTCTGCTGTCCAAGTTGCAAAAGTCCCTCTGAGCTTGTTTCGATCCACGAGAAAGGAAACAGTACAAAGTCTCGAGAAATCATCAGAAACAGTAGAAACTTAGCTTTGCTGATCCCAATACTCATCAAAATAAATACTCGCTTCTAACTATGGGTCAGAAGAATTAAATTTGAGCTACGATACGAGATGTTTTGAATGACGAGATCATGTTCTGATGATGTTTTGTAGGATCAACTTATTCACATTATGCGGCTTGGGCAATAATATCCGGGTCTCCTCGAAGTACGCGGACAACAAGTATGATGATTATTGCTTGTCTGTATTGCTCTCTGAACATCTCGTCATACTGCATAATTACACGTAGACTACCGTTTACCACTTCCAACTTCCATTTTATTCCTCAATGAGCTCATCCCGGTATGGAAACGCAATAGTTGAACAGACCCTCCCTGGCTCAACAGTCTCAGATTAATCACAATGCAAAGAGTACAAAACCCAAGAGAAGAAAAGGAAAATGAACCCGTGCGCAGATCTGGTGTCAGCAAAGGAGCGGGCTCGCTTCAGTTGAAAAGGAAGAAAAGATCTCGCCGCTGGTTTATGATGCTCCGTTACAGTGCCGAAACTCACGCCAGTTTAAGAAAGAGAAAATTGCTCAAAACTATGCATGTCTAATGCACCTCTCACTCATAGTACCATTGCTGTTGATCACGTTCCTAGGCGCCTTCCAAGGGAGGCACATATGAGTAGTTAAAGTCAAGTAGGCCGTCCAACATCCAGTGCTGGGGGTCGAAGAAATCGTAGTTGGCTGCATCCCCGTAGCTGACACCTGCCATCATACTATGAGCTGACGATACAGCTGAGAGTCCTGTGGCTCCGGGTGTCAGGGCGCCGTTCGAGTTGGGGTTGCTATTGTGAGTGTTGTTGGTGTTGAGCAGACTCGAAGGCGGCAGGGTGTGCGACGGTACGAGGGTGCTGTCCATGTGTGTTGATGATGCTGAAGACTCATTAGCCGAATCTGGATTTGTCGGTTGTTTGGCAGCTGTTGTCTGTATTAGCATTCTTGCAATATTTGCACAAGACAAATCAAGACATGCTCTACTCAGGGGCCTTCACCAAAACAAAGGGAGAATGGGGATGACCTACAGTCTATAGTACCTCGCCCCGATGCCTGGAAGTCCTCCCTCCACCTCCAGACTGAATCGAATACAAGGCTCATGCTGTGGCGACATCGAACCTTGAGTTGGAGGCTGTCGTCCATCTGGATCGGTGAGTTGTCGTTACTGTTGAAGTTATGTTGATTGTGTTCGAGTCGAGCGCCGTTCCACATCTGCACCATGAGTTCAGCCAAACGCCACTGAAGATCATTGTTCACAACACTGGTAGCCCGGATAGCCCGGATCGTTTGATGAAAGAGCGTTCGACCTCGCTGGAAGTCTATAGTCTTCGAAAAGAACGACCTCATGAGCTTGAGAAGGGCAAACCCAGCGGCGACCATCATCTGTCCGATGTAGTTGCTGCAGTGAAGAAGTAAGTGTCCGCCAACACCGTCCCGGGGACTAGTGGCTTGATCAACTTCGAGAATTTCATCGAGAAAAGCGGTAGTGGCACGCCATAGGCCCATCAGGTCATCCATGTAACCCGGCGTCTTGCTGGAGTCGAAGAAACCGGCCAGGCGCATATGAAGAGCTGCTGCCCGGAGATGCAAAGAGACGATGGGGCCCAGCCCTTGTGATAGGATAGAAGCATTCAGCTCTGCGTAATCCCGACGGTAGACACGCATCAGCATTGCTCGGTGCTCATCTCCTGCAACGCCACGGGGATCGCTGGCGTTACTATACATCTCCTTCGATACCTTGTCACAGAATCTCTCAATCTGTAGCCGCGCCTCTAGCTCTCGTGATAGTTGGAAAACACTCTCTTCTCCGGCCCGTGAAGCCAATGTCCAGTCATAGAGAGTTGACGCTGGCTGGCCATAGCCAGTTCCAACAGACTGCGCAACAATGTTACAAACAGCCCATGTTGTCACACGGTCATTGAGTTGTTCCTTGTTCAACTCAACTGACACCCTGGAAAAGTCTTGGATATTATTGGGCCGGTGAAGACCTATTCCAGTAGCCGTTTTCATCATCACTCCACACAAAATGTGCGTAGGGTCGGACGAAGTCGTACTTGTGGGCAGTGGCCATGTGCACAGCAGACACATGGCCTTGACCACGTAGTAGTTGCTCGGGACTTCTCCTATCGTTGACCACAGGAATCGTGTCAGAGGCCCCGAAAGATTGCTGAGCAAATCGTTTGCGTTTGGTGGATTATATCGTCGAGCCGCAACAGAGATAATCGACCAGAAGAGGAGGGGATGTTGTTGGAAGAAGAGATCAGGTGCCTGTGAAGGGTTGAGGAATGGCAGAAATTGATGATAGAAAGCCCAGAATTGTCGGAAAAGGTTGTTGACATCTTCTTCCGTTAGCTTGACATTTTCTAGCTCGTGTGAATACCGTGGCATGTTGTAGTTCCCGCCGCGCTTGAGGTGAAGCAGGGACGAAACAGCTTCGTCAGAACCCATTAAAGAAGGATTTCGGGTGTGAGTGTGAGTATAGGTGGGATTGCTCGCAGCGATGGGAGAGTCCATATCGTCGTCGGCGGCTTCTGGTGTGAAACCTTGAGACTTTGCGCGAGCAAGACTGCGACGCAGACGGTCGATCTCCTTCTCCATCTCGGCGTGCTTAGATCTTTTGCCTACTCTTTTGAAGTTTGATTCGATTTTGCACTCTAGTTTCAGGCGATTGCACCGAGAACAACTTTGGAAAGGCTCTTGCACCACGTCGCATCGGAGCTGTTGGAAAATTCTGTTCAGTAAAATGGTGTTTTGACTTTTCTCTGACTTTGACTCACCTTTTGCTGTCGACACTCGTTGCAAGCCCTTTTGACGCCAGGCTGCCGCTTCTTCTCCTGCTCAGCATCGTGGTCATCAATATTACTGCCTGGGCTACTTTCAATGCCAACCATGCTGCTCCTCTTGCGCTTGTTGGTGCCATTGCTGTTCCCATGACCATGACGGGAGCTGACAGGACTCGTAGGACTCATCGAGGCCGCCCCACCAGCCATCATGGAACCGTCCATAGGGACGATGCCCTGAGCCGGAGGCCCGAAGGAAGAACGCGGCGGGATGATGCGAGGATGCACCGGCGCCGAGACAGACACGGGCACGGGCAATCAAAGAATCGGAGGCTTCGAAAGCAAATACCCGGAGTTCGTTGACCGGCCGGTGTCGGTGTTGGTGTTGATATGGATATTTCGGGTCGCGGCGCTGAGTGGGCGCGTTCGTGTGTTGGCAAAGACAATGCGCGTGAGCAAAGGCCGACTACGGAGGAGAGGGGTTTGTTTGTTAGGGAGAAGATTGCTTTTCGCTGGTTTCAAGGTGCGAAAAAAGGCGACTCGAATCTGAGTGGCTAACTGACCTGGCCAATTACCAACTTTTTCACCGTCCTTTCGCGAAAAGAGTAATTCGCTCGACAATCTTATCGGGGAAGGTGCCGCAAGGTACAGAAACGGTACTCTTTTACCGTTGTTGCCTCCTGCAGCGACTTCTGAGCGACCTGGCAAACTGGAGACGAGCGGGGCAGGCCTGGAAAATACTCCCTGCGGTGGGGATTGAAGTCTCTGGTTGGTGAGTCACCTAGAAAGTCACGTGAGGTAGGCACTACTCAGCCGAGGCTCAGGTAAGGAAAGGCATGATCGTGATTTGGAAGTTATGACAATTGTGATGTATGGATATAATTGAATGAGAGCCCGAAAGAACAATATCCTACATCTCAAGCTTGGAAGTCAGAGAGTTTCACAGAACTGTTTGGATGTCGATGCGAGACTTCTGACGCTAGGAGATAGATACCTAGGTATTAGTGTGACCACTTCGTACCTATTTATGAGTTACACGATCCCATCACATGATGACTGACAAGAGTGTAACAAAAAGAAGAAACAAGAGGGAACTATGCTTTCGGCACTTTACAAACTCTTAATATTATATAAATACGATTTTTGTCCTTCTAGTGATGGTATCTGCAAGTCGAGAAGAGGGTGAAAATGTACCTAGTATTTCAGCATGACCTCGAATCTGAACCAGCCTTTCCATGTATCTAAGCCCCAAGGTTCAGACGAAATCTTGATTAACTGTTCAGCTTCTTCTGAGGATGAAATCACTGCAAGTTATCGTCCCTTACTAATACTAATACTTCGGAATTAATACTTTGCTCCATCCATCAAGTGTGATAACGATATTTGTTCTTCAAGTGGAAGGACACGGGCCTCTGAACCAATCAGACTCAACTCTTCCACTTTACACTCCTCTCGATGCATCTTGCCAAAAAAAACATTCTCATACCTGCGTTAAGTATCAGTGCTTTTTGCATCAAAACCACTTCTTCTTCTTTTCCCTCTGACCTGTATCCCTCATCAACAATCATAAGCACCTTTCGTCGAACTCTTCATCATGTCTGAATCTGACAAGCCTCGTCAGCCGGTCAAACGTCAGCTCAAGCCCGCTCCTCAACGCCATGGCCAAGATGTGCATTCTCCACGACTCAAATCAGAGGTCCACTTTGTGATTCCAGGATCTATGCCAGAAATCGGTGAGTTGACGAAGGCTACAGTGTGGTGAGACACGATTCTAACGCTTTGTGCGTCTAGAAACCCTTCGTATTCGAACAACAGATGTTTCTCAGCCTTTCCTGGACCCAAATTCGATGCAACAGTCATAATGCCCTTTGTTACAGGAGATGCGTTATTCAAACTTGGCTGATACATAATTTATACCCTCTTACAAATCCGAAGACACATGTTTCCGAGCTCGACCCTACATTTCTGTTTCGGGTCCAAGTCGAGGACCCTGGCTTGATGGACATCAACAACCAGCGATGTTCTAAGGCTAGGCGGGAAATACCCGTTAGTGGTCGGCTCTTCTTGTTCCTTTCCGAAAGCCTCTATGGTCCTTAAGTGAACCTCGTTCAAATATTCCAAATTATTGGGGATGCCAATGCCATTGGAGTAACTTCCCACGCTAGACAAGCCTCGGACATGGCTACTTTGTCTATCTAGTCCATGCTACTTGTCAAATGGCGATCTCCAATCCAAACCCGGTGAAAGTGCCGAACAACACCACAATTCAGGATCCCCCCCTTATTCCGCGGGTCGCCCACATTCATTATGCGGGGCTGTGGACTAGTGTCTAGAGGATCCTACTCCTCCTTCTGTACCTCTCTTACCTCTTTCTTCCAAGTGGAGGAGCCGATCCGCATAACTAAGCTATCCCACATGCACTGCTGTATGCCAAGGATGCATAGTAGACTACAATAAATCTAGCAAGATACGTTCTTTTCATGGGGATTCTCTCGTCTAAACCGCCTATATAAACCGTCACCCTGCCCAACTGTCGCCCCGTCCAGTTTGACTATAACATTACCCTCTAATCCGAAACTTGATACCCTGTCTTCATCATGGCAACCAAGCTTCACACCGTTCCTTTCCTCATCAACGGAAGCGATCACACCAGTGAAAGGGCTGTTGATGTCGTGTCTCCTGCGAGCGGCGAGGTCGTCCACCGCTACCACAGCGCTGACGTCAAGGATGCCAATGCTGCTGTAGAGGCTGCTGCTGAGGCTTTCAAGTCATGGCGCAAGACGAGGCCTAGTGAGCGCCGGGATCTCTTTCTCAGGGCCGCCGAGATTATGGAAAAGCGGCGTGATGAGCTCCGCAAGTACTCCATGGCGGAGACTGGCAGTGATGCCACCTGGGCCGATTTCGATATCAGCACGGGCATTAGCCACCTGAAAGAAGTTGCCGGTCGCATAGGAACACTTGAGGGCGCAATCCCCACTGTGTCGGATCCCAACACAACCGCACTCGTCTTGAGAGAGCCCTATGGTGTCGTTGTAGCAATTGCGCCATGGTATGTTCCTCGTGCCCAAATAAGTCTAAGAACTGACTAACATGTCATATTCAGGAACGCCCCTTATATTCTGGGCACAAGATCTGTTGTTTTCCCTATGGCCGCTGGTAACACAGTGGTCTTCAAGGCCAGTGAGGTTTCTCCTCGAACACTATGGGCCATTGCCGATGTTTTTAGAGAGGCGGGACTCCCTGATGGTGTTCTTAATGTCATCTTCCACGAGAGAGCCAATGCTGCAGCAGTCACCGCGGCATTGATTGAGCACCCTGAAGTCAAGAAGATCAACTTTACCGGCAGTACACCTGTTGGCCGTATCATCGGTAAGCTTGCAGGCGAGAACCTGAAGCCTGTTATTCTGGAGTTGGGTGGCAAGGCCCCGGCTATCGTTTGGGAGGATGCGGACCTCGACCTCGCTGCGCTACAATGCACACTTGGAGCGTTCATGAACTCCGGGCAAGTCTGCATGTCTACCGAAAGAATCCTTGTGCACAAGAATGTCAAGGACGAATTTGAGAAGAAGCTGTCAGCAACTATCGAACAGATTTTCTCTTCTAAGGGGGATGCACCGATTCTTATTGCATCAGCTCCTGTTGAAAAGAACAAGGCCTTGATCAAGGATGCCATCTCTAAGGGTGCTTCCCTCGTTCATGGAAATCCTGATGTTGAAGAGTCAAGCAAGACTCGGATGAGGCCAATCGTTGTGAGGGATGTCACCACAGAAATGGACATCTACAAGTCAGAGTCCTTTGGCCCTACAGTTTCTCTGATGGCTATTGAGACAGAGGAGGAGGCCATCAAGATCGCCAACGATACCGAGTACGGCTTGAGCTCTGCTGTATTCACATCTGATCTACAGAGAGGCCTCCGCATTGCTCGCGAGATCGAGACAGGTGCTGTCCACATCAACAATATGAGTATTCATGATGAGAGTGGTCTACCTCACGGAGGAGCCAAGGCTAGTGGATATGGCCGTTTTGGTGCATCTGCTGGCCTTGATGAGTGGACTCGCACGAAGAACATTACTTTTAGGAATTAAATGATGGAATGATTATAATACCAAATAGCGCAATATGAAAGAATAGTTTATACCAATTGACACTGAGGTATGAGTAAAGTAATGACACAAGGGTCGGTGACATGAGTGACAGTTGGTCGAAGTTCCGAAATAATGACGAGACATGTCAATATCGTCGTACCCATCACTTCCTTCCTCCTTTCTAAACTTAGTCCAAGATCAATGCATTACTTCTATCTAGAACACACCAACCACAAGTTTTCTATGGCTTGAGCTTATGTAGAAATGCTACATGATGTTGTGGTGCAGGGTAACTACAACAATATATCCTTACATAATCAACCAATCCGCGATAAGTGGAAAATTTCCCATTATCCAGTTCAAGGTCCCAAAACACCGTCATAACGCAGCCTTAACCATCACAACGTCTCAATTATTACCAAACCACGCAACCACCCCTCTCAACACCGCCAATATGAGTTTCCTCGGAATGGGTCGACCTCAGCCTACCTCGGAGCAAAAGATTGCTGCCGTTGAGAGCGAGATGCGCATGATGGCCGACACCTACAACCGGTAAGCCTCAGCGCTCACCAAGTACATGCATTGATACTAATTGTAATGCCACAGTCTCCAGCAGTCTTGCCAGAAGAAGTGTGTTCCTACCGACTACCGCGAGGGCGAGCTCAACAAGGGCGAGTCCGTTTGCCTCGACCGCTGCACAGCCAAGTTCCTCGACACATCCATGAAGGTCAGCGAGATCATGCAGCAACAGGGCCAGGCTCTCGGAGGCAACCAGCAGGGCGGTGGTGGCATGTTCTAAGCGTGGTGAACGAAACGCAAACATTTTGCGACTTCAACAAATCATTTAGAGGACGGGCCCCAAATAGGCCGGGTGATGAATGAAGCCTTGTACGATTATTCAGGAGAACGGATAGATATTGGGTTTGAATCGATAT